AAGAGACAGGAAATGGGGTTCCTCGGATCAATCGAAGCAACTTTTTCCTTTACAAAAATGTTCTCCGAGGCACCGTTAACGCTGTCTCTTATACACATCTAGATGTGTATAAGAGACAGGAAATGGGGTTCCTCGGATCAATCGAAGCAACTTTTTCCTTTACAAAAATGTTCTCCGAGGCACCGTTAACGCTGTCTCTTATACACATCTAGATGTGTATAAGAGACAGGAAATGGGGTTCCTCGGATCAATCGAAGCAACTTTTTCCTTTACAAAAATGTTCTCCGAGGCACCGTTAACGCTGTCTCTTATACACATCTAGATGTGTATAAGAGACAGGAAATGGGGTTCCTCGGATCAATCGAAGCAACTTTTTCCTTTACAAAAATGTTCTCCGAGGCACCGTTAACGCTGTCTCTTATACACATCTAGATGTGTATAAGAGACAGGAAATGGGGTTCCTCGGATCAATCGAAGCAACTTTTTCCTTTACAAAAATGTTCTCCGAGGCACCGTTAACGCTGTCTCTTATACACATCTAGATGTGTATAAGAGACAGGAAATGGGGTTCCTCGGATCAATCGAAGCAACTTTTTCCTTTACAAAAATGTTCTCCGAGGCACCGTTAACGCTGTCTCTTATACACATCTAGATGTGTATAAGAGACAGGAAATGGGGTTCCTCGGATCAATCGAAGCAACTTTTTCCTTTACAAAAATGTTCTCCGAGGCACCGTTAACGCTGTCTCTTATACACATCTAGATGTGTATAAGAGACAGGAAATGGGGTTCCTCGGATCAATCGAAGCAACTTTTTCCTTTACAAAAATGTTCTCCGAGGCACCGTTAACGCTGTCTCTTATACACATCTAGATGTGTATAAGAGACAGGAAATGGGGTTCCTCGGATCAATCGAAGCAACTTTTTCCTTTACAAAAATGTTCTCCGAGGCACCGTTAACGCTGTCTCTTATACACATCTAGATGTGTATAAGAGACAGGAAATGGGGTTCCTCGGATCAATCGAAGCAACTTTTTCCTTTACAAAAATGTTCTCCGAGGCACCGTTAACGCTGTCTCTTATACACATCTAGATGTGTATAAGAGACAGCGTTAACGGTGCCTCGGAGAACATTTTTGTAAAGGAAAAAGTTGCTTCGAATGATCCGAGGAACCCCATTTCTGGGTTGCGAGACATTTTTAGGACACTCTGCTTATCGGGTGCGATTCAACTTTTTCGGATGCCCGCGGAAATCGTTACAAGGTTTCGTTCGCTAATGATTTATGCGCCGCCCGACGTTCGTTGTGTCTCGTCGATCCCTCATCGACCAGCGTGAACCGGAACACACACACATACTTACCGAGATTGCGGACGGCCGACCGTACAAACGACAACTGAACAAACGTTGGAAACCAGTTGGCAAAGTATCATACAAAAATTCGCGAAGCCGTGGTGCAGCGGACGCAACAAGCCCCGGGGAAAGTCATTTTCAAAAGCAACAACGGGCGAGAACAAAGCGAAAAACAGAGATGCACGCAGACGCAAAACCAGGAGAAAATGCGGATCTTCTTCTTTTTTCTTTCTCCGGCCGAGTGAAAATGAGACCGTTCCTCAGCAAATGAGCGTAAAACAAACAAACAAACAAACCAAAATAATTAACTCGTCCTACCTGTGTTCGCACAGCGGAACCGATGATTGCGAAGCGAAACGTGCGAATCGATTACGACGTGCGCGTGCGAACAATTTTTGAATGTTCGATTCGGCATAGTTTCACCGAGTCTTTCCGTTTCGCTCGAGACTCGAATATTCTTCCGACAAGCGCAGAGGTTGTTGGACATTCTGGAAACATACTCGCGCATACATCGCGGCGAGTATATTCCGCGGAACGAGACAAGGTTGGCATGAATCAGCGCTGCCGGCAGCGAGAGAGAACAGACCGGAGTGTCTTTCGTAAAGAATCCACGCAGCTCGCTGTACACCGGCTTATGAATCTTTAATGAGATACATATTTCTCAATGAAATATCTCTCTTTCGCCAAGGTGACGGATTAATAGTATCAAGGAGATCGTTTAGGTCGATGGAGATCGATCGGCCGATCCGCGCCGCGATTCGTCTGAAAGGACATCGAGATCCAGGAATGAATACACGTTTCTGAAATTATCGCGCAACGACGTCGTTCGATTTATCGCGATCCAGCAATCGTATACGTTCCTGAAATTATCAACGACGTCGATCGATTTATCGCGATCGATAAACGCGAAAGAGAGCGCCGCGTATTCGTTCGCGCGTTTCGCGACGGAATCGGCGCTTTGAACGCGAGCGAATGCGATTTCTATGCGTTTTCAATGCAATCATTTTAGATTTCTATTATCGAAACGCTGTTTGCCCATCGGTAATTACTTGTATCATTGAATTCACTTGCATCATGATCGATAAATGCGAAAGAGAGCACCGCGTATTCTTTCGCGCGTTTCGCGATGGAATCGGCGCTTTGAACGCGAGCGAATGCAATTTCTATGCGTTCTCGATGGAATTATCTCAGATTTCTATTATTGAAACGCTGTTTGCCGATCGGTAATTACTCGTATCATTGAATTTCCTGCATCTATACGCGGTGCGATTGTATGCACGTCGGAACGATGGAAGAACACGCTCGGATTTGCAATCGACGTCGATGACTAGACACACGGCGGATCATTCTGCGAAATGGAAAATCGTCCGCCTCGATCACTATGAAAGAAGCAGAAGAAAAATGCATTTTCACATTCGTTCGTAAATTTAACGAGTTGCGAATAATGCGACGCGAAAGTAATACTTTCTTCGAATCTTCGATCGTTCTTTCGATTGTTCTCGCATTTCGGCCGCTCGGTTTTCTCATACGCTATTTCTAATTTTCTCAAATATCCGCTAAATATCCGTGATATTCGGATATTTAACTTAACCACGTTCTACGTACAAGCGAATATCCCATTGATCCGACCGAGCGGAATTGTAAAATTCGCCGTTTCCGCGGCATTTTCTATGCAAAACTCCCGGAACGTTCGTGCCTCGCCGCGCACTTGCTACGACACTGTGCCGCGCGGCGTTACGTATCCGCAACAAGAGCAACATTCCGCCAAAAATAGTTTTCCTCGCTCGCGTCCACTTGAGAGTCTACACCGTGCAATGCTAACGCGCGACACTGTTGGCCCCCGAAGTTCGTGTCGACTGGGGAGTTCCACCGCGGAAACCAACCCTCCGGGGTAAAACTGCGAAGTCGACGGGCGACGCAAGGAGGCCAAGTTTGCGCCACTGTAACCATGATTACAGCTGGTATGCGAACAGTAGATAAGATTTTAACTTGAAACGCGTTAATCCGCGCGCTCCACTTTGCTCGCGATGCATACGCCGGGCGTCTGTCGGCTCGCGGAGCGAATCTCTCGGGCCGCGCCGGTCGAATCGTTCGGCTACCGTTGGTCGCAGTGGAATTAAATAATTATTACAATTGGAATCGACTGCGAGGTGTGTCGCGAAATTCCAGTTAATAAATACATCCGCGAAATTAATCCGAAATTTAGTTGCAACGTTAAACAGCATTTTGGCCGGAGCAATTTCTTAAATTCAGGATTTCAGCGACTGCAACGGGATTGGTTGTATGACGATGCTGTTCCGCGTAATGCGATCATCGTTAAGGGATTTCTTGCGAAGAGGAGCGTTACAGTTTTTAATCCTAAACTGATGAGGTACTTTACGATGCGGCCCGATTCTTTCCTCCGCGTAATCAGATTCGAGAACGGGAACAAAAGGTCCAAGATAACGCGGAACGCGTTCACTTAAATAGACTTTCTAGATTCTCTTTCTCTCTCTTTCTTCCAGACGTTTTCACAGTTTTACGCGTCGGTTGCTCGTATTTCCCGTGAACGTTACAAATACAGCAATGTCTCTCTAATTGACGCTCGAATTGTCTCTGGGAGAAGTTGATCCACCATTTAATCTACAAAGTATCCCAAAAATGTCTCGCAATCCGGAAATGACGGGTTCCTCGGATCGTTTGAAGCAGCTTCTTCCTTTACAAAAATGTTCTCCGAGGCACCGTTAACGAGTTATCAACGAAAATACAGTGACCAATGAGAATCGAGTACGGCTGACGCGAGGCGGCCCAGCCAACCAGCGCGCGAAGCCCGGTTCCGCTCATTGGCTCGGTCGCCTCGCGCCAGCCGAGCTCGCCTCTCATTGGTCACTGTTTTTCGTTAATAACTCGTTAACGGTGCCTCGGAGAACATTTTTGTAAAGGAAAAAGTTGCTTCGAATGACCCGAGGAACCCGCCACTTTCGGATTGTAGATTAAATGGTGGATCAACTTCTCCCAGATTTTACCGCGCTCGACCGTCAACGAATCGGGACATCGGAAGTTCGGGTCTCCTCTGCGCAAGAAATCCCGGCTCTAAAAACAGCGAAACGTCTTAAAAACGATCTCCAACCTAAACATTTTCGATCCAAGAGTGCCGCGGGCCGCGATGAAGCTACCCTAAAATCTAGTAAACGCGGCGACACCCTTCACCGATGGAATTTCGCGAGGTCCATCTTGTCGGATGCTCTAAAAACAGCGAAACGTCTCAAAAACAATCTCCAACCTAAAGATATTCGATCCAAGAGTGCCGCGGGCCGCGATGAAGCTACCCTAAAATCTAGTAAACGCGGCGACACCCTTCACCGATGGAATTTCGCGAGGTCCATCTTGTCGGATGCTCTAAAAACAGCGAAACGTCTCAAAAACAATCTCCAACCTAAAGATATTCGATCCAAGAGTGCCGCGGGTCGCGATGAAGCTACCCTAAACTCTAGTAAACGCGGCGACACCCTTCACCGGTGGAATTTCGCGAGATCCATCTTGTCGGATGCGCCGGTCCGGCGGCGGATCTCCTTAATACTGTTATCCGGTGAGCGTGCGGTACACGTGGTAGACAATTTACGAAGCCCGGTTGCGGCCCGTGGTCGTACATCCCCGTCGTTTCTACTGACCTTTCAGACATCGATCTCCTGACCGACGTCCCGGAAGTGCAGGTCGGCGTACTGCATTATCGTCGGCGCGGACGGCGATCGTCCGTCACCGAGATTCGACGACGAGGACAGCCGATTTTTCGATTTATTGCGGGTCTTGGTGTCGCCGCCGGGGTCCGCGTAATACGTGCTCTCCCCTTGGCTGCGGTTCGACCGCCGTTCCCAGATCTGCTGGCGCGCGGCCGGGTTTAACCTGTGGTACTCGGTCGGGCACTCCGCGATGTTGTCCTCGTAGTAATGGGGATAGGCGATCTTACAGGTCTCGGGTATGCCGAGCTCCTGGACCTGATGGAAGCTGGTCTCGCAGGCGCGCTCGCCCCGCCTCTGCTTCGACTTCCGGTCGGCCCTCTTGTGCTTCCTGTACTTCTGGCCCCGCTCGTTGCCGCGGCTGGCGTGCCGCCGCGGCTGCCTCGCGCCGTCGTGGTTCGTGTAGTTCTGCTGGTCCTCGTCCGGATGCACCGCCGACAGGTGATTGACGGTCTCGTGGTGCGGCAGGGTGGACGGACGATTGTTAGCGTGGACGAAGGAGTTTTGCAAGGGGCTAACTATCGAGGAGTGGTAGAGGCTGCGCGTTAGTGGCAGTGTTAGTTGGCTCGAACTGTTGCTCGGTAACGGGTAGCTGTACTGCTGCATTTCCTGCCGGTGCTGCTGCTGATAATGTTCTTTGTAGTTGTATAGGCTGTCGGTCTGCAACAGGCACGGTTAGTCGGTGGAAGTTCAGCATCGCGCGGGGAACGGGGGGCAAGGGGGGGGGGCGAACGTTAGTGCCGGGTACGTATCGTGAACAATCAGGAGGTGAAATACTATCCCCGTTTCCCGCGGGCCGATCCCCGGTTTTCTTTTTTTGCAACGCCCGGATTCCGGACTGGTTTCTTTTACGAATGTTAACGCGTCGAGCGCGGCTTTCCGTTCGGGCGGCGGCCGTTATTTTTTAACATCGGTACTGCCGGTCTCGTGCGCCGATGCCGACGAAAAAGGATTCGTTGTGTCAAGGTTACCATGAGTCGGTGTCGTCCAAACGATAAGTTATGGCAAGGTTATTACGCGTCGTCCAAGCGGTAGGTTCGCTGACAATTCCTGGGAACTACAACGCCAAACGAAAAGTGCAGTAATGTTTCCCTAATTCGCGCGCGGATCGCGCTAAAAAGTGGACTACTTGGGAAGAGGGGATACGATTATTCGAGCCTTCTATAGTTGTTGGCGATCGGTAACTATAACAACGAGCCAATCGTATCTCTTTTTCTCAAATTGTCCATTTTCGTGCGCGATCTGAGCGCGAATTAGGGAGAAATTACTGTGCACTGTCTGCCCAAAGAGGCTGACGCGCTCAACGGGTTAATCGACTCTCTCCTCGAACGAAAACCGAACGCATTCTGTTTTTTTCTATTCTATGTGGCGCATCAGTGAATATTTTCTGCTTACTTTTTCCTATTCCGGTTTCTTTCGTTTCGGTGCCTGAAAATTCTTGATTCGATGCATCGTCGTTTCCGTCGCTTTTCTTTTAATCGAAAAGACATTTCTTTCGCGGCGAAAGTTTACATTAGAAAGCTAAATGAAGCACATTGGGGCAACTCTATTGTAACTCTATTTGCGACTCTCTCAGCATCTGATGGATCAAAATGATAAAAACAACTTTCGTCTCGAAACCGAGACTTTCGGGATTTTCAGGAAAGATGAGACATTATTTTCTGTACTTTCGGAGGGGGTTATCTTCTGAATAAATATCTATAAATCCCGGAATGTCTGAAAGCGAAACTCCTCCGACGTATTTAATGCAGCCGGGTGAAATTGAACGGCGAGTTACGAGTCGGTAACTCCGCTCATAATGCAGATACAACTGAAAATACGACACTTCGTGTTCCACATAGAATGAATAATCTCACTGCTCTTTCGCTTCGTCCGCGGGGCGGAATGATATTTTAAAAAGATGTATCAGCTTTCCGGAGAACGTGGAGCAACCGAAGAGTAAACGAATGACAAATATTTGGGACTGGTCGATAATAATTAAAATAATAATATTTCGATCGCTTCCGGCGCGACGAAGCGCGTCGGCGAACTTCGTTCTTCGAATCAATTATAATCGACTGAATCACCTTAAAACCGATTAAATCGATGCTCAAGAATCACCGAAGAAGCTTGCGTATTCGATTCGAGCAAGACAAGAATCTCTCGCGATGAAAATGAATTTTGAAAACCGATCGAAAACGGAGAAGAACGAATCGAATCGAACCGTCCGCGTAAAAACGCTCCAACTTCGAGAACATTCGATCGACTATTTTCTCGCTGTTCCACTGACTTTTAAATAAGAAGTCCGACTGCAAGGTGTGTAATTCAACTTCAAGATGATCCGGTAGGTCCATTTGCAAGAAGGCAAGTTAAATTGACACGACGCCGGCGGAGGCAGCAATTTTCTTTGAATCGCGACAAGTTCTCCAGATTTTTCCGGGCCGCGTCCGCAGTTTGTAAGCCGCGAAAGGAGCAAACATCTTTTTAAAATTTCTGCGCGACAACGATTTGAACCTTTCATCCTGAATGCTGAGGGGATTGGCATCGGTCTTCGAGGAGAGAGAGCGCCTTTTCGCGTCGTTTCGCGTCGTTTCGCGTCGCGTCGCGTCGCGTCGAGGCGGTGTCTTCGAGAGGATCGAAATAATATTTTACCTCCTTTATGGATAAGGTTTAAAAGCTCACCCTTAAGCGCGCGCGCTCGTACGCGCGTGACTGTGTGTCTGATGGTGGCTGTGTCAGTGAGAACTTACTTGATGCGCGGCCGACATACACAAGGACGGTCGCTACATAGGTGGCCAGATCCAGCTTAGCAGGGAAAATATGATTTCCGATTATAATTCGGCTTCCAGTAACTCTACCTCCTATTTGCTCGAAGCTGTTGTTTTATATCTATTGCGGACACGTAAATCGTACTCATGCAGTTGGTGCGATGCTAATTATTATATCGGTGCTTAGGGGAGAGGATTTATACTTCGCGTGCTCGATCATTCGTTGCTGCTGCATCCACGCTTTACGTTATACCTCGCTATCGCTCCGAATTATTTAATAATACTGCGAACAAATCGGTCCTTGCCTTTTGTAAACTGTAAACTGAGATATTTTGTTGCTGTATAAATAACGTGGCAGAAGGCTCGCGATATCACTGAACGAGTATCTCTTTACTTGGTGAAAAAGTATAGCTTTTGAAAACGTATGAAGGTCGACATATCGAAAATAAGCTCTTGAAAAATTATATTGATAATTATCTTGGAAATATACTTGAAAGAAATAATACCTTTAGTAAGTAAATTCTCCCCAATTGTCCCTCGGCTTGTATACAAAAGTGGACAATTTGGGAAGAGGAGACACGATTGTTCGAGCCTCGCGATTCGTTTTTATAATCGCCGATTTGTCTATATTATTTATTAGTCTACAACTATAAAAACAAGCCGCGAGACTCCAAAATAAACTCTTCCCAAATTGTCCATTTTTCTTGACAAGCCGAGGGACAATTGGAGAGAATTCGTTGTTGTTTCTAGCAGATCTGGTGCAGAGATCATGCAGCGAATAATTAAAGATTATCGCTCGACTGTTCCAAATAGAAATAATATTCGAATAATTGACAATATTTGGCGGAGGTTCGAACCGTTCGAATCATGTATCCCGAATATGTCTGAAAATGTCTCGAACATTTCGGAAGAAACGTTTTTTCACGCACCGTGGAAATTTTATATTCGGAGATGACCATTGAATATGCAACGACGACATCGAGTACCTGAAGTTAATCAAGATTTTCGCAGACCGTGTGTAACCTAAAGTAAAACACGGTATACATTTATACATGGTCATCCGCTACGTATGTACATACATAATTAAAAGACTGCTCGGAATAGATTTAATCTGTTTCGTGGAAACTGCGTTTTATGAAGAGATAATGTTCCCGGAAATGCGCGCATCCGTTTAATCCCAACAAACGACGCGGATTTTCCCTTTCGACGCGAGAATCGGATACGTTTGGAAAAACGAGGCTCGAACGATCGTATCTTTTTTTTCCAAAATTGTCCATTTTTTGTTTATAAGCTGAGAGACAATCGGGAAGAATTTACTGTAATTAGTGGAACGTGGATTTTATGCATTTACGGGAGAAATGTGGAAGAGAGGAATAAAACAGTGAAATTACTCTCTACATTGAGATTTAAGTCATTTTTGCCACTGGGTGGATTAAATCGTAGTTAAACTAAATAGCGTTAAAGCCAAAAACAAACTGATCAACTTTTCCGTACAAAAATAATCCTTCAGATCACAGTAAAATCTCTCCAATTATCTCTTATCTCTCCACGATTTTTTTCTAATCGTTGACAATCGGCGACTAGAAAACCGAGCCGCGAGGCTCGGACAATCGTCTCTGCTCTTCCCAAATTGTCCAGTTTCGTCCACAAGCCGAGCGACAATTCTGGCGAATTTACCGTATTCGTTAAAACTCCGGTCAAACGGCCCGAAAAGACTGCGATCGAAGACCGGCAGCTACGCGCAAGAAGAAAGTTGACCGAACCGTGAGATCAGAGGGATCACAGCGAGGACGATTTACTTGGCGGATCGTTTAGCACCGATCGATCCAGATACGTCGACCGTCGAGGCAAGAACGGAAGGACTTCTTGGTGACGGCGGTGGCAGCAGCAACGTTTCGGAGCACCGAATGCGGGCACATACTACCAACAAAGAACATGAGTAGTCGACAAACCTTTGTCTTAGGCAACGAAGCGTTTTTTGGCGGGAAAACGGGAAGAGGGACGTTTTGATAAGTGTGTTTCGAGGGATCGGTTTTCCTGGACCTCCTCGGCGCCGGGACCGGCGGGCCCGCCGCCGTCTCCTTAACGGCGAGATCCGATCTGGAGCTGGAATCCGGCGAGCGGCGATTCGTCGATGACGGCGTGTCCGGCGTAACGATCGTCGCCAGGGTGCTCGTGCTGCTGTTCTTGTGCGGACACTTGTATATCGGTATGGCGTAAAGCTGATACTTCCTGTTCTGCGCGGCCTCGTGCCGCCGGCAAAGTCTCAGCGAGTAGAACTGCGAGCGCTTGTGCTTCCGGCGGCGCGGCTTCAGGCTGTTGTACCTCGGCACCGGCGAGTTACTCCTCGGCATGTTGTAATCGCTATAGTGCGGCCCTAGGTGGCTCCTGGTCGATTCGTAACCGGAACTCGCGTCGCAGAACGACGTCGTTCTGCTGAGCGGCTGCGAGCCGCCGCCGCCGCCGCACGCCGCAGCCACGATGGAATGATGCAACGTGCCATGCAAAGCCGAAACTCGGGCAAACATAGGGGAAACCAACTAAAACAAAAGACAACCGGCGGCTACTTATCCACGGCCTCGACTCTTTGCGCCACTGTATTCGCCGGGAAACTGGGCCTGCACCTTTAATCGACACACATTTCCGGACCTGCTCCGCGCTTCGGGTTTACCTGCTTCGGACGGGTTTCACGTGGCACGACGGTGCAAAGGGTTCGCAGCGGGACTCGAAAGTTGTCGTAACATAGGTTCAACTGATTTATGGGCATAGTATGAATTTTCGAGAATATTTAAATTGAATACGAATTTTTAAAGATGGGAATATTCGAGCTTGGCGGTCCATGCGCGCGCTAAAAAGGGGTAAGAAGTGTCTATGGAAGGGTTAAGTACTTGAAACAGTTATAAATACTTCGTAACAGTTGCTACCAGAATTTTTATAGAGGCTGTCCCGTAATTATGTCAACACCTGCGTAGAGGTGATTCCTCGGATCGTTCGAAGCAACTTTTTCCTTAGCGAAAATGTTCTACGAGGCTTCGTTTACGAGTTATTCACGAAAAACTCTGGCCAATGAGAGGCGAGCTTGGCTGCCGCGAGGCGGGGTAAGTCAGCCGGCCGAGACAATCAGTATAGGTGGGAGAGGAACTCCGCCTCGCGCCGGCCGAGCTCGCCTCTCATTGGTCAGTGGTTTTTCGTTAATAACTCGTGATCGAAGCCGCGGATTGAATCTTCGCAAAGGAAAAAGTTACTTGGAATTACCTCGGGAATCATCCCTTTCCGGGTGTTAACATAATTATGGGTTATTTTTGGAACCAACCTCTTCAAGGACCTAGTTTGGAGGCTGCTCCACTTTTTAGGCATTTCATGGCACACGGAATGATGTCGAGATACAGTAAATTCTCTCTAATTGTCGATCAGTATACAGAAATGAACGATTTGGGAGAGGAGATACGATTATTCGAGCCTTGCACCTCGTTTTATAATTGCTGATAATCGGTAAAACATAAAAATTGAGTCGAATAGTCTTATCTCCTCTTCCCAAATCGTGCATTTTTGTTTACAAGTTGAGCGACAATTGTGGAGAATTTCAGGTACTTTTGATGATTGAACAAGAAATCGTTTACGCCATTTTTCGTGATCTGGATCCTTCAACGAATTAAAGTGTTCTTTAAAACTTTTAACGCCGCGCTTCGTTCTCGATCGAAAGCTAATTAACATTTGCTCGAAACAATATTTCCTCCAACTATTAGAAGCGCCCGAGAAATCGTGGGAGCTAATTTTTATTTCGTATACATTCCAATAAAGAAAAACGTTCGTAGTTTGTAGGTCGACGTATAAAGAAAATGGTAAAGCGTACTTATTTCTCGTAACGTAGCATTTCGTGCAATTCGTTTGTCCCGATAATAGTTTCACCGACGCGGATTATTCGTGTTTACGCGCGCCTGAGAAATCGTAACGTACTCGATCGCGATAGTAATTGGAATTGAGATAAATGAGACTGTGCAGGGGGCAGCGCGATGCGAGGACTCGTTAAAATTATTTTTCGTCCGATTGTATCTCATTAATTTTAATGTCCGCTCTTGTTTAAACGTGTTACGAAATGTTGCATCGGAAAGGGGGATTCCGGGGGCTACGGCGTTTCCTGATTATTTGTATCCACGTAACAAAGCTACCATAGAACGCGCACGGTTAAATGATAAAATTCTGAATTTCGTAGGACAACGTGCGATTAATTCTCATCGTTGGTCGCATCGACCATCCGTTCGTTCGACCACAAATTCGTAATTGCAGCCGGACCGTTATCATTTTGTTTTAGGCTAGTGTACACACGTATTTAACGGTAATCAGGATCGAGGTCTTCGCCCCATTATTACTTTCAAGTGTTCCGAAGTACTCGGGCGTTCAATTTCAGATAACGCGAACGCGCGATTGAAAGTTTCTGCGTGGCGAAGTACTTCGAGAGTTTACGTTCTCATGCACGGAACCGAACCCTCTCGGAACTTCGAAAGAATCGTTCGGCGTATAACGAATATCGGTATCGCGGCCTCGGATCTCGATGGAACAATTTATTGTAATGCCCGCGCCGAACAATTCACCGGTTTCGTGGAATTACTTTCGAACTACAACCAGTTTCGCCGGCCAATTATTATTTCCGAAGTAAACGAGCGTGAACTGATAACTTCCGAAATCAGTGTCGGCCGAATTACAGTAATGTCCTCCTTACCGACGCTCGGATTGTCCACTAAAATGGATAATTTGGGAAGAGTAGATACGATTCGAGTCTTGCGGCTCGTTTTTATAATTGTGGACAATTTATAATTATACAAATAAACCGCAAGGCTCGAATAATCGTATCTCCTCTTCCCAAATTGTCCATTTTTGTGGTCAATCTGGGCGTCAATTAGAGAGACATAACTGTAGCGGTCGCGGATTGCTCCTTCAATCGGAAAAGATGAAATTCTAGGAATCGTTTAAACGCATTTATTTTGTATTAAACAAAATTCTTTAGCCGGTGAAACGATCGTTAAGAAGCTCACCGATTATTTAACGGTATGATTTAACTTTTGAAAAGAGGAAAGTACACTGTTCGTCTGCGTTTTATAAATTATTCTATGGTACGATATGATCGGAACATTTCAATATAATATTAATTCAATATTAATATTAATATTCAATATCAATTCAATATTAATAAAAGAAGGAAGCTATAAGACGATTAATTACTGTAAAAATTGGAACAACGACGAAGGTTGGGAGCAGCCTCACAGATTTTCAACAGTACCGAACACAGCAATGTCTCTCTAATTGTCACCCAAATTGTGCAGAAAAATAGACAATTTGGGAAGAGGAGATACGATTATTCGAGGCTTGCGGCTCGTTCTTAACGATCGTTGACGATCGGCAACTGTAAAAACTAACTGCAAGGCTCGAATAATCGTATCTCGTCTTCCGAAATGGTCCATTTTTGTGCACAATCTGAGCGTCTGTAAGGGAGACATTAGACGTCGACAGTATTAGACGTCTAGCGTGCGACAGTATTAGACTTCTAAAATCAACGGTTCAAGCCGAGCTCGTCTATCTTTTTAACGGAACTCTATACGTTCTTTTTACGTGAACGAATTCTGTATTTCGAGATCAATTCATTGACCTCCGACACTTGGATCTTCGGACCATCGTTCGAGGTCGTCGAACGCCGTTTAGATCAGGGTGTCGTTCCAGGATTAAAGGTGTAGTTTCGAAGCTGCGTAAAAAACTTTATCCCTTCGAAAATACTGGCGCAGCCGCTTAACGACGAAACTCGATTTTATTGAAAACCGTCCAGGATCGCGCGGTGGTCCCGGTTTCGGCCGGATCTGTCGCGTATTCACAAACGACCGTGAATCGCGGCGCGAAATCATAACGAACGCCGTGCCAGTGGCGCGTCGGCGGCGCGGGAGGAGGCGCGGTGTAATTGAGATCACGGTGGTCCCGAAAAATTCGCTCGGCAGGCATCAGCGGTTATTGTCGTTCGTACGTCAACAACCGTGTGTCGCGGACTAACAAACAAACAAACAAACAAGCAGGCAAACAAACACAGGCCGAGCGAACTCGAACGCACTGGGGCGGCGCGGAGAGCCGAGGTCCGGTCATCGAGACGGCTATTGTCGGGGTTTGCCTTCATTTCAATCTCAGCGAACGAAATTGCTGGCCGGGCGGATTCAAGGAAAATCCAAAGGCACTGGCGGACGCACAGGCGGTAACAGCGAAAGAGAAACGGAAACGCAAGTGAAAGAAAAAGAAAGGCGAGACTGAGAAACAAGGAGAACGGCGGAAGCACCTATTACGGGACGCTTTTCAGCGGCGTACGAGATTATCATCGATTTCGTCGCGCGACGTTAAAGCGTTGTTATCGAATGTTTACGCGACTGTCCGACGGATCGACGTTCCCTAGATAACGCGGCGAACCTATTTTGGAACGACCGTTCGAAATGCACGTTCCAAAATAGGGAGCGATCGAATATAAAACGCGGAGAGATGGTACGAAATCCGGTGTTCCATAGGGAGGTATATTTTTGATTCGCATGAGATAAATATGCCGAATTTCGCTAATGAAACACGGACGTCGACAGTTCCATAAATCGGGTCCCCAATTTGGAACGTGCGTTCCAAATTGGGGACGATCGAATATGAAACACGGCGACTGTCGAATATTGGCGTAAACGTTCGGCGACGAGGCTTTTAACGTATCGATGAGATGTATTAAGGTGTTATCAACGTTTTTGCTTATTTTGTACCGTATCGTTTGTGCCACTGTTGCGAGAAGGGGCCGCGTTTGGGCGGTGTTTCGTAATAGGTACTTTAACCGTTTAACAGGCGCAGAGTTCTCTAGCAGCGGAGCGGTACTCTTGATCCGCAGTAATCGCACCTACCTGGACAGAGTCGGGTCATCGTGCCGATAATTGTCGAACGCGTCGCCCCGTTCGATGCCTCGCACGTCAGATCGATATTTTCGTTCAAGGTGGGTGCACCCATCCCTCCCATCCCCCCGTATTCCCCCGGTCGGTGCGCTGAACACGCGTCCGCCGGGTTTATGACGCCCAGCCGTGATCCGAGAAATTAATTTGTTATGCCGTTGTAATTCTGACACCGGCCGCGTCCACCGATATCGATCAATCGCCGATGACGATTTATCCACGCGGCTGTGCGGAATGTTTCGCTGCTCGCGATGGACACCGACGCGCGACCGAACGAACGGCTCGCGGTTTCCACGGGTTCCGTTGATGAATATCCATTCATTAACCTTTCACGCATTCGTCCGATGCTTCTGCTTCATTAAGGAGTGCTTTAACGACGCAGTCTTTCAGCCGACCCCCGGCCATTTTCGACGGTTCAAAAGTCCCCGGGATTTCCGACGGCCAGACGCGACGATCTCCGACGAGAGGCCAGAATGCTTTCCACCCCTTCTTCCGCGATGCCATTAATTTCGTGCCGCGAATCTTTCGAATATCATGCCGATATATTATATTTATAATATTATATTATGTTATATTTATATTATTTATTA